TGAGTTGAGGTTTACAGCTACTCAGTGTATGCCCTTTGGGCATTTATTAACAGACCTGAAAGAACTTTGTACCAAGTGCTGATGAAGAGCTAAAACCTGAGCATTTTTGACTTGCATTGCAACCTGTTAATTCCTTAATAAATCCTTTGATCATGAATTTTGGCCATGAGTTCTGTGTAGCCATTGCAATGGATATTAGAGTTTAGAGATAAAGTCGAGAATTCAAGGGAAAACAACACAGGACTGCCCAATTTCGGCAACCCTCCCCATCTACGGTAATTGTCTTTTTGTCACTTAACACCCAGCTTCTTCATGTATGAATTCTATCTGATATGTGCTAACATTGTAAATCCTGTGGAAAGTAGACTTTGTATTCTAAACTGCCACCTTCTTTTCACAAGTATCTTAATAAACTCGAATCATATACTTTGATAAGCCAGGTCAACATTTATGAATGTTTTAATGCATGTAAAATTGTTAAACCACAAATTATCAAAAAGTGACAGTCGTCGCTTTAACTTTGATTTGAAACTGCCCTACTTCTTAGCCTCCAAATGCAAATCATTTTCCAACCACAATCTCTTCATCTCCCACTTCACCTTCATTCCTCCTTCCCACTGGTCTTTTCTCCACTGCCCAGATCCATCAGTGCTAGTTCTTAGAGTTCATTCCATTCTTCTCTATGAAACCGAGGCCTTGTGGTCAGTCATTTCAGTAACATCCTAATAACTTTTTCGCATTCTGAAGTCTGTTTCGAAAGCCTTACTCTGTACAGTGCCCTTTCATTGCTCAGAAAGTCTTAATGCTTCTTACAGATACTTAATGTGGCTTATCTTCTCCCCACCCATTCTTCTTTTAGAAGGGACCTGTTTTCACCAAAGTATGGGAACATTTGTTTGAGCATTGTTGTGCCACTTATGGAGGTGCCTGGGTCACATACACACAGGGTTTGCGCTGGACTACTGACCTAAAGGTTGCTGGGTTGCAGCCACCTAGGATGCTGTGGCAGAATGACCTGACATTCTGTCTCTATAAATGTTACAGCCAAGAAAATCCTAAGTTCTATCATAGCACAGAATCACCTCAGAGGCAAAGCATTTGTGTTTTGTTTGTTTGCGGGGTGCTTACCACATTTTACTATTGGATCATCACTTCTTCATGACTTAGACTCCTCGTTGGTCACAAAGGTGCTTAATGAGTGTTTGTTGAATGATAAGGGACAATAGAGGGTCATGTAAAAAGATCTCTTTCTCTCTCTCTAGTAAATTAGACTCTGATATCTCTAGATGAGGACAACAGTTATAACCTTAATTGTCTACTGGGATGTGGAGATAGTCTTATTACAGGGAGCTGACAATCTAAAAACATTTAAGAAAATAAAGTTTGTACTGCATTTTATAATACTGTTGGGTAGGGGAAACGTTTATTTTTGTGGTACAGTATAGTTATTGCTACATTTTAGCACAACTACACTATATCCTTTTACCACTTAATGCCTTCAGATAGTATTCTAATGTAATTGAATACTCACTGGACCACATCTTTATTGTTTTTACTACTTTTCTGACTTTTGGTTCACTTGAAAAAACTCTATGACTTTTCACTCTTTGTGTCTTTGGCCTGTGACTTTAGAGCTGCAAGAATTCGAACTCTGTTACCAAGTGCTTGGGACAGCTAAGTAGAAGGGTAGCTGGCTTTAAATGGAATCACTTATATATAGCTGATACTGAGTTCTGGATATGGTGGGAAGGTACCTCACTTTTCCTGACTCCCATTTGGTAACCTCCCTGGACATTTCCATGTAAAGCCACATAGTTTCATGAGCTAGTATAAGTTGTTTAGGATTTTTTTTCTTTTTGTGGGAGCATTATTTGCTCCTTATTCATCTACCTTCGTCTTTGAGCTTCTATTGGTATTTCATAATTATGTATGTATTACATTACTCCTTCTTGCAGTATAGCAATCATTTGGCTCTATTTATTCAATAACCATAATCATTCTTGTGTATCATTTTACTATGTTTAAAAGACTTTCATATTTGTTCATCTGTTTAGTCTGAACAATTCTGCTGGATCACTGTAATCATCGTCCTCAATTGATAGACTAAGAAGCGAGGCTTCAAGGGGCCAATGTAGACAGGGCAGAGGCCTAGGGCCGTCCAGCTAGGTGATGACTTCTCCACAGGATCATCGCTGCCTCTTTTCCTAACCTGCTAGTTTTGGTCTTGGTGGTCAAGACCTGAGTCAGTTGCTCTGTGTTACTGGAATATGCCTTACTGTGAGCACTTTGAAAATGTTGTATCATTTGATTTTTCCCAACGTTTCTCCCAATTAGGCAGAACTGGCATTTTTAATGTCATTTTATGGGCAAATATACTGCAAAGCAAGAAGTTTAAGTGACTTTTCCTAGTTGTGGAACTAGGGATTTAACAGAAAATTCCTCAGATTCCTAGCTGAGGAGACTCATGTTTCTATTGCCCTCCTTAATTTGCTTTACTATAAGGTATTTTGGAAAGTGAAATATATTTTCAGTCTTGGGATTCAACTGAAATAATTCTGATTGTGATCCAAATTAAAATTTTAAATACTCAAGTTAAATGTCCACTGTTCACTTGACTTAGTATACTTTTTGTATGTGTACTCCTGATACAACTAATGGAATGGTAGAATCAAATGATACCTTAATTTGCAGAAACTTGTTGCATGAGGGAGAAATAATAGGAGCTAGAAAATGTGTTGTAAGGTGTGGAATCATTCTGCATCACTCCTTGCTGTTCTGTTCACCCTGCGTTCCAAGCAATATCTGTCTTTCTTTGCCCAGGGATGGTGGGAAGAAGGCATTTTGCAGGGTCAGGGAAATCTAGTTTCCTAGCCAGTAGATGTAACTTCTTCACCCCTCCCAAGATAAGTACTACAGTATGAGTTGCTTAACATGCAAGATACATAATAGGATGTTAGATGATTTGGGTATTGTGCAGACACCATGTTAAGACCTGGTGGGAGTCTGCCTATGGATATCCTTGCTACCCTAGCCACCCCGCACTCGCACTGCAGGAGGTGGCTTGAGGAATGTGCCCTGATAGTAGTGACAGCTGAGAGGATGGGAGCAGAGTAGAGGAAGCCAGTAGCGATCCATTCAAAGCAGAAGTGAAAACAGAGGGCACCCAGCTGGGCCAGCTATGTCACCCTCATGAGCAGCAGGAGCAGTTGTCCCCCTACCACTGCCCCCACCCCACTTCATACCCAACAAAGCTCAAGAGTGCAGGTCAAGAGCCTTGTCCTCTGTCTCCACTTCCTGTATCTCAGCCCTTATTTGGACCAGTACAGCAGAGTCTGGATTCGGGGAGGTCTTTAGAAATCTGATAGAGGATAATTTATGAAAGGAGAGTCACTTTCCATGAAAACAAAACAAAACATTAATAGGCCTACACATGTATATGTGGTGGGATGTTGCCTGATTGGACATTCAGGGATTCAAACCCATATAGTTTTGCCTCATGATCCATACCTTTTGTTTAATCAGTGAAAATTGATTTGTCATGGCAAAACCACCTCCTTACAGAGCATCTTGAGTGTAGATACTGATATGGCTCAGCAGTAGGAGTCTGAACTGTGCAGTCGAGAGAGTCTGGAACACATAGGATTCCAGATGACACTCGCTCCAGATGTTCCTTTTTAGTTGTGGTCTCCCCTTGAAACATGGCTTGACAATGGTTTCCCGTATAATCTAGTATTTGTTTTAAGCTGCCTAATAACTGAAATTTCTATTCTGAATCAGTGTTTAGGGACTTGGGTGTAGGCAGGGTTTTGTGCTGAGGGGGACCAAGCTCAACAGCCATGGGCCTTACTTAGGGTGTGAACAGTAGAGTCTGATTGCTCTTGATGACAGACAGCCTTGAGGCAGATAACCTTCAAGCAAACAGTAAGCAACCATGGGCTTGTACGGAGCATATTAAGATAGGCATTTTTAGGGGAGTGGGGATGGGTGGGCCGTGACCACAACACTTGGGGGTGGGAACCTTTTAGTTTGAAAAATGTGACTGGGATTCATCGCCAACTCACTAGGCATGAAGTTCTCCCTCCACCAGGGTCCTGGCCTCCCCAGGCTCCTTAAATATGACCCTAGAGAATCTGGCCACATACAGTCTCTTCCCAGTTCTCAGTTTCCCATACTATGTCAAGTTGAAAAGTTATGAAAATTGGTGATTTTAGATAGTATATTCCAAGTTATGTTTTCTAATTTATGAATAATATAGCAATATTTGCTACAGGGAAGAGGACAATATGGCACAGTAAAGAAATAGGGTACTGCAAATCAGAGGTCATAGCCCCACTGACTGCATTGGCAATTTGCTTTCGGCTCCTTTTAAGTGTTTGACTCCTGCGTCTCTATTTCGGTATCTGCCACATGTAAACTGCTGTCTCAGGGTCGTTGGAAGGATCTAATTAAGTATATAGATCAGGACTCAGCACACTTTAATATCTGCTACTAGTCAATATATTTATCTTAACAAACAGTGGTTACTGTCGGTTATGCCTTTTACAAAAATTATTTCAATTCAGACTTCCCATCAATCCTGCAAGGCAGGCCTTGTCATCTCTATTGACAGATAAGAAACCTGGATTCAGAGATTCTGAGTAACTTGCCCAAGGACCTACCACTATTAAGATGGTTCTGGATTTAGCTCCAATTTCTCTTTTGCTGTGCTGAAGGGATAAATAGTTTGAACTTTAACAACATTTTTGATTATGCTTCTAAGAAATGGATGTAGCACTAGACTAGGAATCACGAGGAACAGACTCTAACTCTATTTTTAAATTATTTCAGGGTAACATATATTTATATGAATACATTCAAAATTTCTGGATACATTTCTACTAAGGTTTACATATTAAATATTTTCTCATTCTGATTCTAATAGTTTTCAGAATTTAAAAAATGCTTGAAGAAAATTTATTTTTACAGATCCTGTTTTAATATCTTGTCCTTTTCCCCCGTAGTCATTCCTACACTGGCCAAGATTACAGCATACAGGGACATGTGGGGAAGATTTCTTTAGAGCAGATTGACTCGGTAAGCATCAGTCGTCTTTTTCAACCTGGACCTTTGTCAATGGATGAAACACAGATTTTGGTTGGGAGGATGAGGAGAAAACGTTATTATATTGATTGCCAATCATGTTTAAAGAAACCACTATGTTTTCCAAGTCATACTAAATCTAAGTTTAACCTGAAAATTGTTTGTAGCATGGTAGAAACAGAATTTAAGCAATTCTTCGAAAGACCATACTTTTAGGTAACGATAGATAATGGTGTTTATATTTAAACTCTATATACATTTAAAAAGGAGATATGAGAAATCCTAAGTATTGAGTTTCATCTGTGAGTTGCCACTCAGTTAATGGACAGCATATTTCAACTATATTTCGTTTTGTAGCATTGTAGTAGAATGAAATTAAATTCTACTTTAATTTGTAGAATTTCTCCTTGCTCTATGATAGAATTTCCTCTCCATCTAAAAAAGGGAAAAATAGCCAGCCCGCAATAATCTTTGTTTTTACAGTTACCAATTTATCTATCACTCACACTCATTCAATATCATCTAGCAAATTCTGACTCATAGTGACCCTGATGGTCAGGGTAAAGCTGCCCCTGTGGGTTACTGAGATTATAAATCTTGATAGTAGCAGAAAACCTCATCTTTCTTTCTTAGAATGGCTGGTGGGTTTGAACCTAGGCTGTTGTTAGCAGCCTAATAGGTAACTCACTATGCCACCAGGAATCTGGAATTATGGTAACTAAAATGTGTACTGGAACTTTAATGTTTGGAAACCATAAATTATCAATACAGAGATTTTAATGCTTAGAAATAAGAATTATAATAAGGTGGTAAGTAGAAAAAGGCCATGGGTTTTTAGAGACTGGATGAATCATTTTTCCTCCTATTAGAAAAGTTATAATCATGTGGTCACAGTTATTATATCTAGAAATAATAGTGGGACTGCCTACCTTACATTGTTAATTTGAGACTTGTTCTTACATGTCCCATCCTTTAATGTTCTCAAACAGTATGTGATTTGTAGATATGCCATGTGTGCCCTCCCCTGTGAATTTTATTCACTCTATACTCTGGGGATAGTTGGCTGATTGGTGGTTGATTCTTAACGTACTTCTGTCTAGATGTTTGCTCTATTTGCAAGCAAATGTGAACTTGTAATGGATACTGTGTAGGGATGTAGAAATTTAACCATTAATTCATTGAGTGAATATATACAGATTCTATCCATTATATATGTAGCCCTGGTGGCACTATTGGTTAACAGTTGACTCTTAACTGCAAGGTTGATGATTCAAACCCAGCAACCCCTCCACTGGAGAAAGATGAGACTGTCTGTTACTGTGATAATCCACAGCCTAGGACAACATACACGTTCATAGCCTAGGCAACCCCTCGGAATCTACCACAGAGCTGGTAGGCTTGCTTGTTGGGGGGAGGGGGTGTGAGTGGGGTGTTGGGTCGGGGTTTGGCTCTGTTATGTACTAGCAACTGTGCTGTAAATACAAAATCCGACCTGCTGTTGTTGAGTCATTCTGACTCACAGTGCGACCCGGTAGGACACAGTACAACTGCCCAAATAGGATTCCCAAGGCTACAATCATTGTAAAAGCAACCTGCCACATCCTGTCTTTGGGATAGCTGGAACCACTGATGATTCTTTTGACAGACACATTTTGCACCGACCTTCCACCGTAGATGTTATTAAAACCCAGTAAACATAGTATCTCTGAAATCTTCATTTTTGAGCATGTAAATTTTACCTACCCCAAACCTCCATGACTTTTCCTTTCTCTCACACTGTGAATACAACTATCAGTAAATCTTGCTGGTTTGCTTTCCAGGCACAAACTCAAACCCAAACTCACTGCCAGTGAGTCGATCCTGGCTCATCCTGACTACGTAGGACAGGATGGAATGGTCCCTTTGAGTTTTGAGACTGTAACTGTTTATGGGAGTAGAAAACCCTGTCTTTTCCCCTGCAGTCCTGCTGGTGGTTTCAAAGGGCTGAGTTTGAGATCACTGCCTAACTTGTAACCACTACACCATCAGGGTTCCTTCCAGATACAAGGGGACTTCAAAAAGTTCACGGAAATATGTAACTAGTCATCATGGGTCCTTCTACAGCTTCCTTGGAAATCTTTTCAGACCTAACTCTTTTTCAAGTATTTCTTACTTTTGGGGTCTTATCCTGTAATTCGTGGGTCTGAATTATTCTCATATTTGAAAGTAGGATGATAAATCAATTAGTATAAATCAAAGCCAAAATTACAGTGGAACACCATATCTAAGAAACTAGAGCTAATATGGTCTATCAGAACAGGTATTATGGGGACTTGGTATATCTTGCACATATGTCAAAACTGGTTTGTTTCTTTTTCTTGTAGCTTTCTATGAAATCTTTCCCACCCTGCATGCGTCAGTTACATAAAGCCTTGCGGGAAAACCACCATCTTCGTCACGGAGGCCGAATGCAATATGGCCTTTTCCTGAAAGGCATTGGTTTAACCCTGGAACAGGCACTGCAATTTTGGAAGCAAGAATTTATCAGAGGAAAGATGGATCCAGACAAGGTAATAATGACAACATCAGAAGTAGTGGTCATTTTAATTTTGTTTTAAATTTTAAAAGCCTGCCTTATTAATTTGCCCCTTGAAGTGTAGTTGAAAATTCAAAGATAATGATGTCTAGAGTGTGTTGTTGTTAGGTGCCATCAAGTTGGTGCCAACTCAGCAACTCTTTGTGAAACAGGACGCAGCACTGCCCAGCTCTGTGCCATCCACACAACCAGTCTTAGGTTGGAGTCTCCTGAAACAGCCACGTATGGCGTGCTTCTCTGGGTGCCATCCACACAACCAGTCTTAGGTTGGAGTCTCCTGAAACAGCCACGTATGGCGTGCTTCTCCGGAGGCGCCTCTCTCCTGACACCATGTCCAAAGTACGTGAGACGATGTCTCATGATCCGCTTCCAAGGACCGTTCTGGCGTACTTCTTCCAAAAGGGACTGGTTTGCTCTTTTTGCAGTCCATGGTATTCTAAACAGTTTTGTCAACTCCATAATCCAAATGTGCCAGTTCTTCTTCCGTCTTATTTCTTATTTATTGTCCAACTTTCAGATACATGTGAGGTGATTGAAAATACCATGAATGGTGTGGGTCAGGTACACCTTTGGCCTCAAAGCGACATCTAATAGATGTTAAACCAAAAATTGAGAAAGGTAATGTAATTGGGAGGAAAAGAGTGAATTAGTCATGTCAGATATAAAGTAATTCTTGAAGGAAGAGTCTTTTTAGGTATATTAATAATATTACTTACATGGCTGGAATTGCTTTTGGAGTTCTGTTTTTATCAGAATATATGTGTTTATACACATATACATGCACAGACATAATTTTGAGAGCTAGGAAATACTAAGAACAAATAAAGTGAATAACTTAAAAGACTTGCATTTTGCAGACTCTTTCATAAAACATTTTTAGGTAGACATTAATCACTAAATACTATTAAAATGGTGTTTAAACCTACCATATCGCTTAGGTCCTTACTCTTTTGTTTTTTAAAAATAGTGTTGGTGAATAATATTTTACTTTAGAAACATGGTTTCTTGTCCCTCTATGCCATGATATTGTGGTTTAAAATAATATTTTTATTGTTCATTTCTTAGTTTGCTTCCTCTAGGAAAACTAAAGTATTGAACAAAGAATATTTTCCAAGTAAATTTTATGATGACTCTTTATTATATCTCTTGCTGTATTCTGTAGTAAAAGTTCAGATTCTTTTATAATGTATATTTAAAAAACTGATAGTTTATTTTATTGGCACATAATTTATATATCATACTATTCAATAGTTTTTTCATAGATTTATTTTGCGCACTGTCTCCATTGATACTTGTCCATAGATTCATACATAATTTATTTAACAGAATTTTCTTAGAACACAATTTTAGATACAGTTTCATCGTTCTATATTATATTTTATTTTAAAAGTATTCTAATTATAAAAAAATGAAAAAAGAGAACTGTCATCACCATTCAGAAATAACCACTTTAAACATTTCATTTTCTTTGTAGCTCAGTGTTTTTTCCCTACCTTTTAAATTGACATTATGGTATGAGCTTTTTCCCCATGTTCTACTCTTTGCAAATGCCATTTTAATTGGTGCGTGTTATAATAATATCCCTTGAAAGTGATGTAGCTTATTTAATCATTTTCTTACTATTGGATATTTGATTATACCCAGTTTGCTCTGTCCACAAATACTATTGCAACCAATATCATGGACACAGAAATATCTGATTGTTATTCTAATTATGTCTTGGATTTATTCACTGGAAAATTAAAAAATCATCTAGTTAAGAAAATTTCAAGTTTTGGTATGTGCTATGATTTTTTTTTTTTTAAGTTTAGAGATTTTGTTTTTTAAAAACTCTAATTTTGAGCAAATATATCCAGCAAAGCTGGATGGTCACAGTTTTTACATTGTTATTTCTGTTCGAGTTATTTCGTCTCCATACCTACAATTCTCATCTGTGTTTTTAGCCCATGCTTCCAATTCACTGTTGACCCTTTAAGCTTATATAGATTATCATTATTTTTATATAAAACACATTCTTTAAGGGCAATCTTTGGGCTGTTACATAGGTTAATGGTGACTTGAGGGAATACCGTATACACTTGTGTATAAGCTGAGTTTTTCAGCACATTTTTAATGCATTTCTTGTGGTAAAATAGGTGCCTCAGCTGATATTCGGGTCAGCTTATACTCAAGTATATATGGTAGTTTCAATTCAAGGTTTGAAGAGCAAATCCAGAACAGATTCTCAGGACTCCTTTGAACCCAATAGGTCCAGTAAGTCTGGATTCTTGAAAAGTTTGCAGTTCTTTTCCACACCCTCCTACCTATTGATCAATATTCATCTATTGTGTCCCTGATCAGAATGTTCATCACCTAGTCTCAAGATAGTTCCTATAGAAAAGTAGTCTATAGTCCAGTTCCTTTTGTGATTCTTGAGCTTTCTTTTTGGTCACAAATAAAGACCATTATGTGTATCTTGTGATGGCCACATGTAAACTTTGAAGATCCTGGGCACTACTCACCATATTAGCCTGTAGAACACTGACTTTAGAAATGCATTATCATAATTGACTCGATTGCCCTGATTTAAAAAAAAAGGATCTTCATCAAGCTGTGTGAAACTTGTTCTACCATTCACTTCATTATATATTAATTTTCTAAGGTCAAGTAAGGAGGAAGTTGGTAGGGGCTGTGAGGTGACAAGAGCACATTAGCCTGGTTTTTGCTGTCAACTGAAGGGAAGAGGAATGAACAAAGAAGGCAAACGAGTCATCCCAGCAGGTACAGATACAGTGCAAGGCCTTCCAGCGTAGACACCTGTTCTCTGATCTGCCTTCTTCTGTGTGGCTCTGGGATGCCCTGGAGATCCATGTCATCGACATTACAGATTTCCTTTTGTTGTTGTTCTTTCAAACCTGTATGTTAAAAGAAAAAAAAGGATTTTTATTTTGCAATGTAGAAGTCATTTTCAAAAAATTTTATAAAAGAAATATCAATAGATGATTTCTTAGCTTTCTAGATCATATATAGCAGCCACTTATCCTTAGTTTATTATGGATTATGACAAATATATTACAACTATGACTAAAAAAAAAAAAAAAATTATACCTAGTGGCTTCCTGTGGCTGTTTTGTGTTCTGTTGTTCCAGAGCATGTATTTGTAAACAAATGCTTGTCTTTCTCAATTACATTCTTCCCTTACATGTTTTTGCCATGACATTTAAATTATTTCTTAGTTCATTAAAATGTATTTTAATATATCCATTTTCTAAATGACACTATTGAAATATTCATAAAAGGTATAGAAAACTGATGGCTTACACTGCTACTACCTAGAGAGAGTGTTCATGAAGGTGTGTATTAGCCTCCTTCCTTTTCGTAGACTTGTGTTGCACAGTCAGTGCTACTTCCTCACTGATTTCATGCCAGTGCAAGACACCTGATGTGGTGATGTAGTTAGTTTTGACCAAATTTCTTGGCACTTATTTTTTCATACTTATTCTTTATTTACTAGTTTATTTTCTATGAGGAAGTAGATTGGAGCATAAACTCTTAAAAAGCAGGCTTTTTTGTCTCTTTGTTCTCTGCTATAAATTCACCCAGTATTTTCGGAATGGACTAAAGAATATATTCCCACAGAAATAGCTACTAGGCAAACCAGAAATTTGTCTCCCTGCCACTTCCCACGAACTTTCTCTGAGAAAAACCCAATTGTTAATGTGTTGCTATTCATTTACAGTGAACTTGAAAACAAACTAATAATTTTAGTAGAATCTGAAATTTCCCAAGCTTTTGGCTTCTAAGGAGCCCTGGTGGTACAGTGGATTACATGCCGGGCTGCCAACTGTAAGATCAGCAGTACAAATCCACCAGCAACTCCCTAGGAGAAAGATGAGGCTTTGTACTTCCATAACGAGTCACAGCCCTGGAAACCCACAGGGGCAGTTCCTCTGAAGTGGAATCGACTTGATGGAAGTGAATGTTTTGGTTTTATAAATTAGAAGGAATTTCAAATAAACAGGGTCCTGTGCCAGTGGGATCCATGGTATTAAAAGGGTGTTGAGAACTCCCAAAGGTTATCAGAGACCAGGGCATCTTGTGCTTTGTCTCATGAATAGCTCTTCAGTAATTGCAGTGGGGCTGGGGTAGGTTTCTGCTAAATTAGAAATGGAATAACATGTTGATATGCATTCATCAAACTTTGTACCTACCCTCTTCATGTTGTTATCAAATTGCAGTATCATTGCATGTGTGTCCAATGATTATTATTTTAACTACTTTGAATGTGGGGACTATGACTTTTCTACTTGGTCCCCCCCAATTTAGTATACCACCTGGCATATGTTAGTTGTTTGCTGGCCTACTATAAATTGTATCAAAGTGTTAAAAAGTAGATTGAAGACTTAAAAAACACATAAATGTAACAAACCTTAATGTTTTATTTGCCTCTTTTTAGATAAGACAATCAAACCATTGCCATTGAATCTATTCCATCATAGCAACCCTTTAGGACAGGTTTGAACTGCCCTTTGGGTTTCTGAGGTTGTGAGTCTTAACAAGAACAGAAAGCTCCTCTTTCTCTGAACAGTGGGTGGTTCCAACTGCTGACCTTGTGGTTAGCAAAGTGACAGTAACCCAGGATGGTACCCTATTCTCATGATAAAATGGTAATGGTTATTTTACTAGGTAACCAGGCTTGTCTTCCAAGTATTTTTCAAAACAAAAATGTGGGTTGCAAGAATATACAACTGTGTAATCAATCATTCTCACCATTATGTAATGTCCAAAGATAGTATAAATTGCTTATAAGTATTTCAGGAATACAGTGGTCAAGTGATGATTTCAACTAAAGATACAAATATGTGTATGGGAAGAGGCTTTAAGAAGTTCATGGAGAAATTTAATTAAAAGATAATGGAATTTTTGTATGAACTTTTTGAAGCTACCTTATATACACACATAGTCCATTTGCTTTTTATTAGCCACTGAGTGGAT